CCTTTTATCAAATTTCTGAATAAAAAAAAAAAAAAAAAATCCTAATGGATCTGTCAATCTTTTGTCATAATCAATTTAAGACAGATATTGCTTTGAAAAAAAAAATTTTTTTTTTCATCATAAATCTTAAAATAGCAAAAAAGTAAATTAAATATTTTATTAATGTAAAAATATCTGTCTAAATATATAATTAATAGCAATTAAACTAAACTAATTTTTTCTTCTGTTATTTTTCAGATAAAGGAAAAATATTCACAGGGTGGTCCAAAAATCAGTTAACCATATTTTCTTTTTTTACACTAAAGCAATCATAAAAATAATAACAATGCTTCTTTCTCCATAAATAATACTTGACCATGCTACTTCACATAACTGGTTAACCAATTTTTGGGTCACCCTATTTTCTTATTAAATTAATACAATTACTATTACTAAATGCAATTAATATAATTATAATTGATTTTGGAATAAGCATTAGAAATGATATGTTTAGACCAGTTATTTATGACATTTTTAATCTTATTTGTATATTAATATAGTTTTTAATTAATGTATTTAAATAATAAAACTTATGACCTGCATTTAAAAAATTTGTTATTAAACACCAATTAATTAATCAAATTAATTTTCAATGAACTAAAGTTCCATTTCCTGAATTAGCTAAATAGAGAAAATATATTAATAATGATACACAACTTTATCAATATTATAATACAATTAAACATTTTCAAAATTAATTAAAAATGTATGGCAAATTAATTAAAGCACAACAAAATTATAACATTCCTCTGCAGTTATAATAAATGATGTACTTACTATTTATAAACCAATACTGTAATGGATACATTTGATTCACATATTTTAAAATCCATTTTATTTTATGTACATAGAATTTAATAATACAAGTGTACGAGTATCTCTTCTGTTTATTTACAGTTGCTAATTATACTTTTTGTACGTCAGTGCTTCGTGTTTATCTTGTTTCGTTCAAATACTTCACCTACTGCTTCCTTTACTGCTGATACGAAACTTACTACATATTATCATTATGGATTACATATTTTTTTCTAATTAAAAAGAGTAGCACAAGGGTTTATCTATATTAGACATCATTCATTAACTTAATAAATTTATTAGAAAAATGATTAGAAAATGTATTGTCAGCCAACTTTGAAGTATAAATGAAATCTGTCTTAACAATATTAATTTTCAGAATTTTTTAATACAAAATCATAAATTAACTTACTATATTTACGATCATATTACTTATTCGGCAAAAATACAGCTTGTATAGTTTATATTTGTTTCTGTTTTGTTTGGTGATATTAAAGTGTAGTGAGAAACTAAATTAAAAATGTGAGTTATTTATGGCACCAAAACAATATATGTTTCATCTTATCTTATCTAACTCTAAAATTACATAAAATTAATATTTATAAGTACAGAAAAAACAGCAATTCACTAAAATAACTTTTCATACAATAATACAACTTAGTTTTAAGGAAAAAAAACTGAAAAATTATAATTGATTACCCTCTAAATAATTCATCATTGGCTTCTCTCCTTCTGCCATAATTGTCAAATGTTGATAAAGATCTTCTGGAGGAGATATTGGTGTTAGAAGATCGCCACATTCTGGATCAGTTCCAGTATGATCTCCATATAAGAAAAAAAATTTAAAACAAACTATAGATACGATACCTGTTGATTAATTATATTCATAAAGAATATATATACGAAATTACAAATGAATAAAATTCAAATTATTCTCTCCAATGAAAAAATAAAATACATGAAAATTATAATAAGAAAGCTGAAAGTACAGTACATGCACAAAATAACTGTAATTTTGCCAAAAAATTTAAATAATAATAATAAATTGATTAAATATAATTTAAAATTATATTATCTTTAAAAATTTGTTTCTTAGATTATTATTATTATTATAATTAAGGGTTCTTAAAATAATGTACTTGTATGTAACATTTAGCTTTATTTTGCAAGAAAAAAAAATCAATTGTAATAAAACAAAAACAAAAAATTATACAAAAAAATTGAAAGTTAACTTTAAATTTTTTATTATCATCTTTTTTAATGAATATGGAGGAATATAACCATTTTACAATTTAAGTATTATTATAATAACAATCTATATACATGAAGATTATTAGGAATAAGAGGTTATATACTAAAAATACATTGATAAATGCTATATACCTTGATTATAGTTCAATCTTTTCAGCTGATGATGTTCTTCTTTCACTCTTGCTTTTGTCCCTACCATTATATATATATATATATTAATACAGTTAGAACTGGAAGATATAAATAAGCATACAATGCTGTAATTCGCTTTTAAAATGTCACAATAGAGCAAACATTATTGTCAACACTTCCACGACTCCCACCAAGATCAACCATCAACATTAGAAAAATCTGTCCATTTCAATTAGCGCCATCTGTCGTACGATAATGGCTATCTCAAAAATTATAAAAATATTTTAATTAATTTTATAATCGTAATTATAAATCGTATTAATAATTTCCGTTTGTTTTGTGTCAAGGAAATTATTTTTGCAAGTATTAAAATATTTCAACAAAGTAAATCCATTATTTTAAATCTTTAAACATACACAATTTTTAATGATGCTTATTGGTTAATCTATAATTAATTCGATTCTTTAAATGAATTATATTAAAATAATATGCATTTGTTTAGTAATATTAATAAATATATAAATAAATTATGAACGTTTTTATGTCAAGGTAGAAGTTCTTTTGAAATTTTTATATTCATGTAAAATAATTGAACAATGATTTGGTATTTTCATTTTGCATAAATGTAAATTCGATAGTAATATTATTTAATTTATTACTATTAACAAATATTTTAAATTAATACACTTATACATTCATATTTTATATAGTTTTAAGAAGTTAAGCTAGGTCACGTTTGATCACGTGATTTAAGTATTAATAATTCAAATGTAGTTTTTTAAAAATTATATTATTAAATCATGATTATAATTTATTATAAATATTTTTTATATAAAGACAAAACACTTATAATATTTATTTAATATAATAAGTTATTTATATCATATTAATTAATACAGTAAAATATTCTAATAAAATTTAATGCTTCCATCTATTGACAAGAATATAAATTAATTCTAAGTTGGAAATAGAAAAAAGTAAATATTTAGATGTTTCCTATAATTGATAATTTATTAATTCATAAATTTTAATTAGAAGTAATAGTTTATAAAAAATTTTAATTTGTTTGAGCCTTTTAATAGTTGACAAAATGCTCACCAGATGGATAATATTTCAGTACACGTGTTTTGATTAGTTTAGGTTTTGAAAATTGTTTTTTCTCCTCTCATTATCTACTTAAAACAAGAAATTTAAATACGTTCATCATGTCTTATATGAGTGGTTTCGGTCAGAAGACATTTAAGCCTGTTCCTCCAGAAAAAGGAAGTTTTCCATTAGATCATGAAGGTCAGATAGTGTATTTTTATATAAATACTGTATCAATTTTTCAATGTATTTTTAAAAGTAAAATTTCATCTTCTGATTCTGTTTTTTTCGAACAATTGCAGCTCTGGGTGATTCTGTGATGATCTTATCAGTATTATAGACCATGCCCATAGAACATGTCCCAGTATTATAGATCACAATATGAAACTATGGGCATTATTTTAGCTCTGTCAAACACTATTACATGTTGCTAGGGTTGGAAGCCATCCCTACACAAAAATCAATGTTTTATTTTTTTTAAGAATGACTCTTTATATCTTCTTAAACTTATTTCTTGCAATGCTGAGTTTTAAAAATTGATGAAAATTTAAAATAAAATAAACTCTAACAATATCTGAGAGCATATTTTCCTTTTTTTGACACAAGACTAAAAATGCATATGTAATGTGGCATGTATTAGCTTGCTGTTGTGTATTTAATGCACAATATTGAAACTGTATAGTGAAATTGACCAGCTTACTTTATATATAAAATACGTATTATAACGTTCTTCCTAGGAAATAACAGAGAACCCTTAAAATAAATCTGATTGACTTTTCCGAAGTCTTCTAAAATATCAACTGAAGCAAAATATATAGTGGCTTGATCAGTTAACAAACAGTTTGGACTACGAATAAATCAGATAATGAATACTTTCACAAAAGATTTTTATGTTTGGACAACAAACACCTCACAGAACAAACATAATAAGAAGCAATGTAAAATAATAAATATCGATTGGTCTTCCCTTGTCTTCGGGCAACAATTCGAAACTTTCAGAGCTTGGTAGACGCCAGCATCGACGCTCAACCTGGTATATACCGATCAGATAGTATTCCTCTGAACATTGAAACTCATCCTTGTAATTCCAACCTTTTCTTTTTCTGACAGAAACAATTTTTTTATAGTATTCACTAGACTGTTAGGTGGGCACTCGTTAAGTTTTGCATCAGTTTTTATTTTTGAAACGTGAGTATAATAGCAAAGGTAGAGAGTGAGCAGATGTATGATGTTGCTGGGCAGTATGGCTTGAACAAGTCTACAGTAGGCTGCAGTTCAATCTTATCTAAGAAAGATACAGTATAATCAAGAAGACTCAAACAGCTAAAGGAGTAACAAAAATCACATCTGAGAAATAAAGAACATTGAAGAGCTCATAATGGAATCTGAAACTGATCTAATGACAGAACACCAAGAACTCTTGAATGAAGAACATCAAGAAACTAGGCAAGATATGTTTTCTTCTGAAAAAGAGGATTAATGCTGATATCTGCTATTAAACATCTTTTGAAGATGTGGGAGGATGTCAGAACAATGGTCTTAGTATGGCATCCAAACCAGGTTGAGGTTAATAGGCTTAGGGATCGCTACAATTACAATGCTATTAATTACTTCTGAAAAATCCTGAAGAAGAGAGAAAAGAAATTGATTATTAGCAATAGAAAAGAAATTGACATTAGACAGATTCTTTAACCCCCACAAACAGAAAAATCATGACTAATTAAAATGCAAGACTGTGTATATATGTATTTTTATTATTACATATAAGTAAACATAGTAAGAAAGTATATATTTTTTGGGTTCTCCAGAACAAATTAATCAAATTCCCATAAAAACATATAGTAAATCAATAATTGGTTAACGAAGAATTCGGATAGAGAGCAAAGTCTTGAAACGGATTATGTTCATTAACCGATCACGCACTGTATTTCATTTTTGACACTGCTCTGTGGGTACTAAGAGGCCTTTTAATTATGTCGATAATGCATTTGACTATGTCCCCATCTGTGGGTCTGATGTATCTTAGACAGATTACCCACAAGAAATTCCTAGAGTTTTTCAACCATCTACATTTATTCCGGAATCTCCAGAGCAGTAGGTGGATGTATTAACTGCTCGACCATCTGTACAAACGTAGTATAATAATTCAGTTTGTGTTTGTGATTAACTTGTGAATCATTTCTCATCTATTCAATTTAAAATTGTTCATTGTATGGTTTGAATTTCGTGATAAAATCTTTGATTTTAATAATTGTAAAGAAATCCCTAATATTTTCCATATGATATACAAATTATAATATATCTTCATATTTGAAATGATAAATTTGGATGGCTTGATCAGAAAAACTTGTTATGGAAGAGGTCTTAGATATTTAAATCAGTCTTTGTTTTGTATCCAATTAACAGAAGATCGACTGATTTTATCAGTAATAAGTGAATGAGTAAATTGTTAAGACCACAGAAGCAATGGTAAGAACATTAATAAAACTGTACAGCATGATATACAATATGGATAAAGTAGGATGCAGTCCTATCCAGGAAGATTAAAAACTATCTTGAGAACTAGTGGAAAATTTCTACTTTATCACCATATTGTGCGTAATAAGCTGTGTATTTGGTTAATTATAAAATTCTCATTTAATTCAGCATCTACATAATAATAATAATAGGTATGAAGATTGTGTTATTAACATTTCTGATATATGTGTATTTTAATTTAATATTGTTTCTAATGTTTATTTTTTAAAATAATCATCTGTTTAATCTCCACTAAGTTTCTTCATCCATTTATTATTATTTTCCCTTAAAAAAATTAAACTGATCTCCAATACTGGACAACATTGGTTTGAATGTTTCTTAAGAAAGATAAATGGAAGATTATTGGTGAGCAATACAGACAAAGCATTACAAACCTTCAAGATTTCTGATTTAGTGAAGATGATTGATGATGTTATCTGCTCCACTAACTAATATGTAAATAACTAATAGAGGCAATATTTCATCATCTAAAAATATAGAACTAGATATATCTATTAATTAAGCAGCTTTCCTGCATCCTTAATTAGATAAAATTGTAAGATTGAAGATAAAACAATCTAAGAAAATCTCTAAGGGAACAAAATTGGGATACAGTATTATCAAAACAACATGCAATGTTAGCTAAATTATCGTCATCGTTGGTCATATTCTATTTGTGCAAAGTGCACACAGATATAGCACTTTCATTTGCTGAAATTTGCTTCACTTAAGTTGCCTACCTGTGTGCACTTTGCATGAATAGAGTACTTTCAATAGTTGGCAAAATTACATAGTGACCATATTTGAAGAATATTTAGTGATAAAATATATGGGGTACGTTAGCCCTCATTATATTGTCTGTCAAGAGAGAAATCAAATGAGCAATATTTCGTACAGTTTGATCTACCTGTTTTGTCTACTTTTGTTTTTCATGAAGACTTGCTTTTTTTGTACGCTGTATTTCATAAAATGGTAGTTCCAACGCCAATGATTGGAATAAAGTAATTTTTTTTTTTGGCAGTAGAAATTAATTGGCAACCAATTTTACTTTCTTGGCTGTTATGACATAGTATTGTAATTGTCTTGCATGACCTTTTGGGTATTTGAAATCTTGATGTTTTCAGACTCCCAAACTCAAAGAAACTAATATCATGTGTGGATCATTTAATGTCTCAGATGGAATAAAGGTTAAGAAACAAAATTTGGCACAGTAACTTATATATGATAGGCATTAATGCTATTAAGTTTTGGTGGCTAAATGTCAAGGGTGGAGAAATAGAGGGAGGTCATGTTGTGTCTTGAGTAGTCAGACTTAATGAAAATTTTACTCATTCTTGGCATTTACAATATTTTTAAAAACTACTCTCAAAATTAAGGTTTTTTTGCTTTTTTATAAATAGAATTTCATAACAGCCAGGAAAGTTAGTTAATTCATTGCTGATTTTTTAAAATCACAAACAACTCTAGTCTCCATTGGCAAATTTCAATAATTGAGAGAACATTTCTCCAAGAATTGAGCCATTGACTTTTGCCATAGAACCCATACTGAATGAAAAAAATTGAGATAAAGTGATGCTTTCATGACTTAAGAAGCAGCATAGCGAGAAAACATACAGATTACAAATACACCTATTGAGTTTCTAAGAACTTTAAGAAATATTATTGCATAAACATTAAGAAATATTATATAATTTATTCTTATATGTATTCTAGGAGAATGTAAGAAACCGATGCTCGAATATCTGTTGTGTTTGCACCAGAATGACGGTGACAATTCAATGTGTCGTTTAATAGCTAAGGAATATCTTCAATGTAGAATGGACAAGTAATTTCAATAAAATTACATTAAATAATAATAATAATAATTATAAATTAAAATCATTATTTGTGATTATCAGGGATCTAATGAAAAAAGAAGAATGGTCTAAATTAGGATTTAGTGATAAAAATGTTACCAGTGACAAGAAGTAACAGCTTTTAAATGTAATTATTTTTATGGAATTTATTTTTAAAAATATATTCTATTTAAAGCTATCAAATAAATATTTTAAGATGTATTGTTCTCCCTGATTGATTTAAAAACTTTTTATTACAGACCCCCAAATTTCCGACTGTCAAGCATCAGAGGAACTGTGTATATAAAACAAATATATTTTGTAAATGTTTTAATATATATATATTAAATCTCTTTATTCCTAGATATTCAATCTTGAGAACTACTTTTTCAGCATCTGCATCTTACATTAAATTTTTGTGAAACCATCAAACATTCTAAGTTAACAGGTAATGTTTGAAACTGTAAAGATCTCTTTTGGTAGTAAAGAATTAAATTTTTACAATTTCAAACCATATGTACATAAATAATTTTATAACAACTATTTATACAGTATTTACATTTGGCATAAATATACATTATAATATATTATTTTCTGCTTTAAAAACAATATGTTCGTAAAATGCCAAACATAATAAAAGACTATTGCACATGAATTCTCTGTCGGTTAAATTACTACGAAAGTACAACTCTCGGAGCGCCGGACCGAAGGACATTTTTGGAAGTGATGGCAAAAAAGGAACGGTCTCCTTGTTTAATAGTTTATGAATGATGTCCTGGCTAGTTACCCTTTCATTTCCAACTTGTATTTGAAAGACACTGGATAATGAGGAGCTTTTTATGGTCACCACCTTAAGATGAGTTGGCAAAATATCTTCAGAATGTTTGAATTGACTTAAGATAAACGATTCTAGTGCAGTCTGCCTTATCATGTACGGCACGTGAGTTAAATGCTTAGCACGAAGCCTTTTCTGCTCCATTAAGTATATGTCAGCTTCAGGTATTCTCGATACTAAGTCAATTGCCTAAAATGAAAATGGTACTATTAATTTAATAATTTTGTTATTAAACCATATAGAAAATCAGTAATTATCAAATTATGCCATATTATTTGATTGAACAATATGTATGAAATTGGTCAAAATAATTTACTTTCTAATTATTCTACTAACTAGATATGTTAATTATTTTGGCTTTTAAAGTATATTCTGTCATTAATAAGGTATAATTTGATTTACAGATGTAATGGAGTATCATAGAAGATATTACAAGTTACTTTTATCAATAACATAAGCAATCTGTATTCAAAGTATACTAGTCTGTTTTTTAGATTTATACTAATAATTTCTTCATTTATAGACTTAAACAATATGATTTAAATCACAAAAAACTATTTTTAATTAAAAAATCTTAAGACTTATTCACTTCTAAAATATTTCATTATGATCATGAATGCAAAACAATTTTATGAATTTTTGCTAATGTAGAAAATACTTTTGACTATACAGTACTGATAACTTAAATATATACCATATTTACTCACATATAAGACGAGGTTTTAATTCATTTATCATAGCTTCAAATTCCTAGGTTGTCCTATAGGTGTGAGCAAAAGATTCTTTGAGTTTCTGCAAATAACTTTTGTGAACAGTATATTCACATTTATTACCAGATGCTTACCCTCTTGTATTTAATAAGTATTTTATCTGGGTCATTTGAATCGTTCTTGTATATTGTCAGGAGTAAAGATGAATAGTAATAGGAAAAGCAAAACTTTTGAATTGAATTCCAGGTTGAAATTCCAAAATCACACGGGAGCATGATATAAGTTTTATTCCTTTTCCACATGAAAACAGATGATTATTCGGAAATCATAATTTGAAGAAACTCATAAGTGTAATTGACAGAGAGTGGATTCAACTGATAAGAATTGGCAAAAAAACGGTTTCCAATTGTCCAGCTTTAAGTGAACAAATTACGTTGTTGATTTTACAAGATTTTTCCTTAAAGTTTAAAATGCCAGTAATTTTTGCAGGATAATGTATGCATTTAGGTTCATTTAATATTTTACTTGTGATTAAATGAAATAAAATTAGAATTTTATTAATAAATTTAATTTTCTTTATTTTGATCTTTAAAGTCACACTTCGTCCTATATGCGACATAGTCTTATATNTAATAGTTTATAAAAAATTTTAATTTGTTTGAGCCTTTTAATAGTTGACAAAATGCTCACCAGATGGATAATATTTCAGTACACGTGTTTTGATTAGTTTAGGTTTTGAAAATTGTTTTTTCTCCTCTCATTATCTACTTAAAACAAGAAATTTAAATACGTTCATCATGTCTTATATGAGTGGTTTCGGTCAGAAGACATTTAAGCCTGTTCCTCCAGAAAAAGGAAGTTTTCCATTAGATCATGAAGGTCAGATAGTGTATTTTTATATAAATACTGTATCAATTTTTCAATGTATTTTTAAAAGTAAAATTTCATCTTCTGATTCTGTTTTTTTCGAACAATTGCAGCTCTGGGTGATTCTGTGATGATCTTATCAGTATTATAGACCATGCCCATAGAACATGTCCCAGTATTATAGATCACAATATGAAACTATGGGCATTATTTTAGCTCTGTCAAACACTATTACATGTTGCTAGGGTTGGAAGCCATCCCTACACAAAAATCAATGTTTTATTTTTTTTAAGAATGACTCTTTATATCTTCTTAAACTTATTTCTTGCAATGCTGAGTTTTAAAAATTGATGAAAATTTAAAATAAAATAAACTCTAACAATATCTGAGAGCATATTTTCCTTTTTTTGACACAAGACTAAAAATGCATATGTAATGTGGCATGTATTAGCTTGCTGTTGTGTATTTAATGCACAATATTGAAACTGTATAGTGAAATTGACCAGCTTACTTTATATATAAAATACGTATTATAACGTTCTTCCTAGGAAATAACAGAGAACCCTTAAAATAAATCTGATTGACTTTTCCGAAGTCTTCTAAAATATCAACTGAAGCAAAATATATAGTGGCTTGATCAGTTAACAAACAGTTTGGACTACGAATAAATCAGATAATGAATACTTTCACAAAAGATTTTTATGTTTGGACAACAAACACCTCACAGAACAAACATAATAAGAAGCAATGTAAAATAATAAATATCGATTGGTCTTCCCTTGTCTTCGGGCAACAATTCGAAACTTTCAGAGCTTGGTAGACGCCAGCATCGACGCTCAACCTGGTATATACCGATCAGATAGTATTCCTCTGAACATTGAAACTCATCCTTGTAATTCCAACCTTTTCTTTTTCTGACAGAAACAATTTTTTTATAGTATTCACTAGACTGTTAGGTGGGCACTCGTTAAGTTTTGCATCAGTTTTTATTTTTGAAACGTGAGTATAATAGCAAAGGTAGAGAGTGAGCAGATGTATGATGTTGCTGGGCAGTATGGCTTGAACAAGTCTACAGTAGGCTGCAGTTCAATCTTATCTAAGAAAGATACAGTATAATCAAGAAGACTCAAACAGCTAAAGGAGTAACAAAAATCACATCTGAGAAATAAAGAACATTGAAGAGCTCATAATGGAATCTGAAACTGATCTAATGACAGAACACCAAGAACTCTTGAATGAAGAACATCAAGAAACTAGGCAAGATATGTTTTCTTCTGAAAAAGAGGATTAATGCTGATATCTGCTATTAAACATCTTTTGAAGATGTGGGAGGATGTCAGAACAATGGTCTTAGTATGGCATCCAAACCAGGTTGAGGTTAATAGGCTTAGGGATCGCTACAATTACAATGCTATTAATTACTTCTGAAAAATCCTGAAGAAGAGAGAAAAGAAATTGATTATTAGCAATAGAAAAGAAATTGACATTAGACAGATTCTTTAACCCCCACAAACAGAAAAATCATGACTAATTAAAATGCAAGACTGTGTATATATGTATTTTTATTATTACATATAAGTAAACATAGTAAGAAAGTATATATTTTTTGGGTTCTCCAGAACAAATTAATCAAATTCCCATAAAAACATATAGTAAATCAATAATTGGTTAACGAAGAATTCGGATAGAGAGCAAAGTCTTGAAACGGATTATGTTCATTAACCGATCACGCACTGTATTTCATTTTTGACACTGCTCTGTGGGTACTAAGAGGCCTTTTAATTATGTCGATAATGCATTTGACTATGTCCCCATCTGTGGGTCTGATGTATCTTAGACAGATTACCCACAAGAAATTCCTAGAGTTTTTCAACCATCTACATTTATTCCGGAATCTCCAGAGCAGTAGGTGGATGTATTAACTGCTCGACCATCTGTACAAACGTAGTATAATAATTCAGTTTGTGTTTGTGATTAACTTGTGAATCATTTCTCATCTATTCAATTTAAAATTGTTCATTGTATGGTTTGAATTTCGTGATAAAATCTTTGATTTTAATAATTGTAAAGAAATCCCTAATATTTTCCATATGATATACAAATTATAATATATCTTCATATTTGAAATGATAAATTTGGATGGCTTGATCAGAAAAACTTGTTATGGAAGAGGTCTTAGATATTTAAATCAGTCTTTGTTTTGTATCCAATTAACAGAAGATCGACTGATTTTATCAGTAATAAGTGAATGAGTAAATTGTTAAGACCACAGAAGCAATGGTAAGAACATTAATAAAACTGTACAGCATGATATACAATATGGATAAAGTAGGATGCAGTCCTATCCAGGAAGATTAAAAACTATCTTGAGAACTAGTGGAAAATTTCTACTTTATCACCATATTGTGCGTAATAAGCTGTGTATTTGGTTAATTATAAAATTCTCATTTAATTCAGCATCTACATAATAATAATAATAGGTATGAAGATTGTGTTATTAACATTTCTGATATATGTGTATTTTAATTTAATATTGTTTCTAATGTTTATTTTTTAAAATAATCATCTGTTTAATCTCCACTAAGTTTCTTCATCCATTTATTATTATTTTCCCTTAAAAAAATTAAACTGATCTCCAATACTGGACAACATTGGTTTGAATGTTTCTTAAGAAAGATAAATGGAAGATTATTGGTGAGCAATACAGACAAAGCATTACAAACCTTCAAGATTTCTGATTTAGTGAAGATGATTGATGATGTTATCTGCTCCACTAACTAATATGTAAATAACTAATAGAGGCAATATTTCATCATCTAAAAATATAGAACTAGATATATCTATTAATTAAGCAGCTTTCCTGCATCCTTAATTAGATAAAATTGTAAGATTGAAGATAAAACAATCTAAGAAAATCTCTAAGGGAACAAAATTGGGATACAGTATTATCAAAACAACATGCAATGTTAGCTAAATTATCGTCATCGTTGGTCATATTCTATTTGTGCAAAGTGCACACAGATATAGCACTTTCATTTGCTGAAATTTGCTTCACTTAAGTTGCCTACCTGTGTGCACTTTGCATGAATAGAGTACTTTCAATAGTTGGCAAAATTACATAGTGACCATATTTGAAGAATATTTAGTGATAAAATATATGGGGTACGTTAGCCCTCATTATATTGTCTGTCAAGAGAGAAATCAAATGAGCAATATTTCGTACAGTTTGATCTACCTGTTTTGTCTACTTTTGTTTTTCATGAAGACTTGCTTTTTTTGTACGCTGTATTTCATAAAATGGTAGTTCCAACGCCAATGATTGGAATAAAGTAATTTTTTTTTTTGGCAGTAGAAATTAATTGGCAACCAATTTTACTTTCTTGGCTGTTATGACATAGTATTGTAATTGTCTTGCATGACCTTTTGGGTATTTGAAATCTTGATGTTTTCAGACTCCCAAACTCAAAGAAACTAATATCATGTGTGGATCATTTAATGTCTCAGATGGAATAAAGGTTAAGAAACAAAATTTGGCACAGTAACTTATATATGATAGGCATTAATGCTATTAAGTTTTGGTGGCTAAATGTCAAGGGTGGAGAAATAGAGGGAGGTCATGTTGTGTCTTGAGTAGTCAGACTTAATGAAAATTTTACTCATTCTTGGCATTTACAATATTTTTAAAAACTACTCTCAAAATTAAGGTTTTTTTGCTTTTTTATAAATAGAATTTCATAACAGCCAGGAAAGTTAGTTAATTCATTGCTGATTTTTTAAAATCACAAACAACTCTAGTCTCCATTGGCAAATTTCAATAATTGAGAGAACATTTCTCCAAGAATTGAGCCATTGACTTTTGCCATAGAACCCATACTGAATGAAAAAAATTGAGATAAAGTGATGCTTTCATGACTTAAGAAGCAGCATAGCGAGAAAACATACAGATTACAAATACACCTATTGAGTTTCTAAGAACTTTAAGAAATATTATTGCATAAACATTAAGAAATATTATATAATTTATTCTTATATGTATTCTAGGAGAATGTAAGAAACCGATGCTCGAATATCTGTTGTGTTTGCACCAGAATGACGGTGACAATTCAATGTGTCGTTTAATAGCTAAGGAATATCTTCAATGTAGAATGGACAAGTAATTTCAATAAAATTACATTAAATAATAATAATAATAATTATAAATTAAAATCATTATTTGTGATTATCAGGGATCTAATGAAAAAAGAAGAATGGTCTAAATTAGGATTTAGTGATAAAAATGTTACCAGTGACAAGAAGTAACAGCTTTTAAATGTAATTATTTTTATGGAATTTATTTTTAAAAATATATTCTATTTAAAGCTATCAAATAAATATTTTAAGATGTATTGTTCTCCCTGATTGATTTAAAAACTTTTTATTACAGACCCCCAAATTTCCGACTGTCAAGCATCAGAGGAACTGTGTATATAAAACAAATATATTTTGTAAATGTTTTAATATATATATATTAAATCTCTTTATTCCTAGATATTCAATCTTGAGAACTACTTTTTCAGCATCTGCATCTTACATTAAATTTTTGTGAAACCATCAAACATTCTAAGTTAACAGGTAATGTTTGAAACTGTAAAGATCTCTTTTGGTAGTAAAGAATTAAATTTTTACAATTTCAAACCATATGTACATAAATAATTTTATAACAACTATTTATACAGTATTTACATTTGGCATAAATATACATTATAATATATTATTTTCTGCTTTAAAAACAATATGTTCGTAAAATGCCAAACATAATAAAAGACTATTGCACATGAATTCTCTGTCGGTTAAATTACTACGAAAGTACAACTCTCGGAGCGCCGGACCGAAGGACATTTTTGGAAGTGATGGCAAAAAAGGAACGGTCTCCTTGTTTAATAGTTTATGAATGATGTCCTGGCTAGTTACCCTTTCATTTCCAACTTGTATTTGAAAGACACTGGATAATGAGGAGCTTTTTATGGTCACCACCTTAAGATGAGTTGGCAAAATATCTTCAGAATGTTTGAATTGACTTAAGATAAACGATTCTAGTGCAGTCTGCCTTATCATGTACGGCACGTGAGTTAAATGCTTAGCACGAAGCCTTTTCTGCTCCATTAAGTATATGTCAGCTTCAGGTATTCTCGATACTAAGTCAATTGCCTAAAATGAAAATGGTACTATTAATTTAATAATTTTGTTATTAAACCATATAGAAAATCAGTAATTATCAAATTATGCCATATTATTTGATTGAACAATATGTATGAAATTGGTCAAAATAATTTACTTTCTAATTATTCTACTAACTAGATATGTTAATTATTTTGGCTTTTAAAGTATATTCTGTCATTAATAAGGTATAATTTGATTTACAGATGTAATGGAGTATCATAGAAGATATTACAAGTTACTTTTATCAATAACATAAGCAATCTGTATTCAAAGTATACTAGTCTGTTTTTTAGATTTATACTAATAATTTCTTCATTTATAGACTTAAACAATATGATTTAAATCACAAAAAACTATTTTTAATTAAAAAATCTTAAGACTTATTCACTTCTAAAATATTTCATTATGATCATGAATGCAAAACAATTTTATGAATTTTTGCTAATGTAGAAAATACTTTTGACTATACAGTACTGATAACTTAAATATATACCATATTTACTCACATATAAGACGAGGTTTTAATTCATTTATCATAGCTTCAAATTCCTAGGTTGTCCTATAGGTGTGAGCAAAAGATTCTTTGAGTTTCTGCAAATAACTTTTGTGAACAGTATATTCACATTTATTACCAGATGCTTACCCTCTTGTATTTAATAAGTATTTTATCTGGGTCATTTGAATCGTTCTTGTATATTGTCAGGAGTAAAGATGAATAGTAATAGGAAAAGCAAAACTTTTGAATTGAATTCCAGGTTGAAATTCCAAAATCACACGGGAGCATGATATAAGTTTTATTCCTTTTCCACATGAAAACAGATGATTATTCGGAAATCATAATTTGAAGAAACTCATAAGTGTAATTGACAGAGAGTGGATTCAACTGATAAGAATTGGCAAAAAAACGGTTTCCAATTGTCCAGCTTTAAGTGAACAAATTACGTTGTTGATTTTACAAGATTTTTCCTTAAAGTTTAAAATGCCAGTAATTTTTGCAGGATAATGTATGCATTTAGGTTCATTTAATATTTTACTTGTGATTAAATGAAATAAAATTAGAATTTTATTAATAAATTTAATTTTCTTTATTTTGATCTTTAAAGTCACACTTCGTCCTATATGCGACGTAGTCTTATATTCAAGTAAATACAGTAAATGTCATTATGTTTTATGTTTAATATACAATTATAAAAATAATAATAATACAGACTATAAATATATCTATATTCATTTTAAAAGTTTTTTTTTAACTCTACAATGCTTAACCTTAGATTGGGTGGAAAATACAAAGTTGATGTAAATATATAATATTTTTAGCATTTATTGCCAAATAAATGATCTAATTGTTACATCCCCAGGTTCTTAAATATTACATACTATTATTTAGGTTTATTCATGTGGTATTTTCTATCAGAGGGTTGTTGCCAAGTGGTGATCAGTTTTCCTCTAATAGTCACTGTCCTTTTGTGTTGTTACCTACATAATTAGAGACTAGGCACACAGGTCTAGATCTTCCTCTTGTCTTTCCTTCTAATTTGCCTTGAAGCACAATCTTCATTTCTCAAATATCCTCTTGTACTGTGCCCTGCATATTGGCTGCTTTCATTTGCATTAATACCTTTCCTAGGCTTTTTTATTTGCAATATATATTAAAGATCATTATTAAAAGTATTGTGTATGTATACTGTAAACATCTTATATATTAGTTGTAACATTACGAGCACTGGTCATTTGCAATTATTTTTAATGGACAGATAGATAATATGCACAAATAACAGCAATGTTATAACAGATTTCTGTAGACTGATGCTCTGTGTTCCTTTTGTCATTAATTTTTTTCTTATTGTTCCAACTATTGTAATTTCAAGACACAGTAGTTCTTTTGAATAATTCAACACTTGTGGAATATTTGTCTACTAGCAGATAAGTCCAGTGTTGCTTGGGCAAAAAGTAACAATAACAAAGATTAAGATTATACATTATAGCCAATCTTACCTGTTTTCACAAAATGCAAGAATTAGGTCCCCGTTTCCAGACCGATTAGAAAACTTTTTAGATAGGTCTAAAAATATGTTTGATTTTTAAAGCTTGATTTCATATCCTTCCAGTTTATATGTGTTGTTTTAAAATACAGATTGTCGATTAGCAGTGCTGGATGTAAATTGCATGCTGTTATCGTGATTGCATTGCACATAGTGGGCAATCTTGAAAATGTCGTTGATTGGGCCATACTTTTTCAGAAATGATTTCTAGGCCCTGTCATCTCCCACATTTCTAACCAGAACTGGCCATCAAGTTTGTTTGATTTGACATCCTGGAACTTTTTCTTTGGGGGTTTGTCAAATCTCATATCTATGCTAACAATCCATGAACAATTCCTGGCCTCAAGACTGAGATTCGGCATGTTATTGGCAGAACTGAGCCAGAATTATGTAGCAGTGTCATAAGAAATTTTATGAAAAGAGCACATGTGTGCCACCAGACTTGCTTAAAAATGTTTGCCACCTTGGCAAACATTTTTAAGCTTGGAGACAATGAATTAGCACTGAAATGGATTATAATGTTACTTTGCACTGAAATAAAAATATCAGCTAGTCAATAAACAATGTGTTTTATTATACAATTAAATCTAGCACTGCTATTGGAATACCCTACATTTTAAAGTTAATGCAGAATGCTCAGATTATTTATAACTATAAAAGCTATTGTTATTCAGACTTTTATATATAATTTTTAAATGTATTGGTTGAAATTTCACTTCTGTTTTTAACAGTAATAACAATAAACCTGATTAAAGACATTTAAATACATTTGTTTAAACATACCTCACTGTAACAAGCATGGATATCATATTTAAGATCGTTCGAAACAGGAATTCGTTCCCAGCTGTGAAGCACCATGTCTCGACTCAGATGAGAGACCGTCAAATATGGAAGAGTTAAGTCCAATCCCACAACACTTTTAATATTCTAAATAAAGAAAAAACACATATAATTAAATTACTCAAATCAATATATATTTTTAGAAAAGAAACATTTTATTTCTTTAATAAGCATATTATTGCTTTTATACATATGGAAGTTGTTTTACAATGCATCATTAATTGCTTAAACCTCTAAATAAAAGTTTTAAAAATATAACTTGTTGAAATTAACTAGTAGTTATTAAGTTTTATTGTCTGTGTATAATGTCACATGGCCTTGCATGGCAACATCAAACACAGAGGGTACATTTTTCTACTGTATCTCCTCTCCCTCCTCCTTCCTCTTACCCTCTTTTCTGCCTCATGTACGGCCAATGTCTTTCTTGTATGTGTATAATGTCATTTAAAAATAGAATAGTTAACATTCAATGAATTTGATAAAATAAATCAACCCACAACTGTTTACCATGCAGATGCATTGTCCATTGCATTACCTAGGCCAGGGGTGGCAAACCTGTGGCACGTAAGAAGAAATCATCTGTCACATAACGTATCATACTACTTTGATTTATCATCTATCTTTTAAACCAGCTTTTTTATATTTATTCTAATTAAAACGCATTTGTTTAATTTCTGTATATTATATATTGTTGTTCAAAGTCTTTGGCATGCATAAACATCTTTAAAGCTAAGTATACTTAGCTTTTGTAGTATACTTACTACATACTAAGTATACTTAGTATTTGGAATGCAGGCTCAAAAAAGGTTCACCATCCCTGTCCTAGACTATCTGATCTTCACTTCCAAACTAATTTAGAATAGTAGTTCTCAATGTTTCTTGTGTCGCAGACCCCTAAAACCTCACACCATGATGGACCACGGACCCTCACATAGATTGAGAAATACATATTTGTAACATATTATCATACTGGTCACACTTCATATTGATTACATACCTGTGGTCTTATAAATCATTTAAATTTTAAAAGACAAAACAACCCAATTTTTGAAACAGGTTAAACTTTCATAAAATTTTGTGAATTGTTTTTGGTTAGTGACGTGCAATCAAACATTTATACTCTGGAACTAGTAGTTCTGAAAACTAGTTTAAGAGTATGTCAATTCCATGTAAATACTCGACTCTAACTCCTTTAATTGACTAAGAACTGTATCCTAGTTTTCATTAAAAATAAGAAAATAAAATTTCCTAGTAAATATTTTTTGCAACTCAAGATTCAGCAGAACACAGTTAAAGAACTACTTCTACAAACTAATAAACTATTTAAAACAAAATTGACCTGGAATTTTTTGTATACTGTATTTCTGAAACAGTATGTCTACTTTGCTCTCATTATAATATTTTATAGCAGAACATATGCATGTGGCAACATGCAGGAAGGACATCTAGGGTATTTGCCTTTACACAGACATCATTCAGTGTGAAAATGGGACAGAGGTGGATTGTAATGTTTTTGCACAATGAACACCAAATCTGTTGAAATTTACAGTTGATTGTCACATCAGTGTCAAAAGGTTTTACCTCTATTAAACTGATTAAAGATGATAAAGGAGTGGTATTACAAGATTACAAAAGAGTCAAGGAAAGATGGAAAGTATATTTTAGGAATTTATTGAATGAAGAAAACCCCAGAACTTTATACGAGAATGGAGAGGCAAATGAAGGAGTGGTGCAAGATATTAGCAGAGAAGTGGAAAATGTGCTCAGAAAAATGAAGATGGGGAAAGCAGTAAGCACTGATTGGATTCTGGTTGAGGTTTGGAGAGCTTTGGGTAAGAAAGGAATTGAGATCCTCTGGGACCTTATGAAGAAACTCTGGCAGCAGGAGAAGATCCCAGATGAATGGAGGAAGAGCATTCTTGTGCCAATCTTTAAAGGTAAAGTGGATTATAGAATTGCAGAAATTACAAATATATAAAGATATTGTCCCTTACTATGAAGATTTAGGAGAAAATTGTAGAAAGAAGGATTAGGCAGAAATATGAGATTGGAGAAGAACAGTTTGACTTTTTGCCAGGAAGGAGTATGATTGATGCTATCTTTGCTCTAAAACAGCCAATGGACAGGCACAGGGAAATGCAGGAAGATTTGCACATGGTGTTCATAGATCTAGAAAAGGCATATGATAGGATACCAAGGCAAGAGATATGGAGATGTTTGAGGGAAAAGAATGTTCCAGAAAAATATGTTAGGCTCATCAAGGAAATGAACGAGGGAGCAGAGACCAAAGTTAAGAGTAGTGTTGGCACTACAGAAGGATTCTTTGTTAATGCTGGTTTGCATCAGGGATTGGCCCATAGTACTTATTTGTTTGACTTGATAATGGACATGTTGGCGTGTGACATGAAGTGCGAGGTTCCATGGAGTATGCTGTTTGCAGATGATACTGTGCTCTGTTAACTTTCCCAAACCAAGGCTGAGAAGAAACTGGAAGGTTGGAGGAAAGTTTTGCAAGAAAGGAGCATGAAGATTAGCAGAACTAAAACAGCTTATATGACTCTGAATGGTGGAGGAATAGAATATTAAAATCCAAAATGTGCCACTCCCTTTTGTTCCAAGTTTTAAATATCTTGGGACATTTGTCAAGATGGGAGGAGGATTGAACTCTGAGGTGCAGCATAGAATTCAATGTGGATGGATGAACTGTAGGAAGCTGAGCAGTCTGTTATGCAACAAGAAAGTTAGCTGCAATCTGAAAGGAAAATTGCATAAATCAGTTGTTAGACCTGCAATGTTAAATGGAGCTGAGACATGGGCAATAACAAGAGCCCAAGAAAGAAAGATGGAGGTGACAGAGATGAGAATATTGAGATGGATGTGTGGAGTGTCAAGGAAGGATAGAATAAGGAATGATTTCATTAGAGGTTCTGTTAAGATGGGACCCGTGAGCAAAAAGATGCAAGAATGTAGGTTGAGGTGTTTGGCCACATAGAGCAAAGTAGTGAAGATTATGTTGGAAAGAAGGTTGGAAAACTGTAGTGAAAGGAAGACTAAGGCTGCTTTGGAAAGATAAGGTGGAGGAAGACTTGAACCAGAGGGGACTTAAGAGAGACAAAGCCCTTGATAAGGAGAAATGAAAAAAGTATTAGAGAAGGAAATGCCGACTCCATATAAACATGGGAAAAGGCAAAGATGAAGAAGAAGAAGATTGTCACATCAGTAGGGAGAGAAGGTTCAGTTCATTTAATACAGTACATGAGCAGGTTATGAATCTTTCTGATTTTGCACCTTCAGACATCAGTGATTTTGAAAAACTGCCACATTTCAGTTTGAGATGTGGCCACAGAAATGATTATCAGTTATGGTAGTGTGAAAAGCATTATTCACAATCACTTTTGTTTTTGAAAGGTCTCTGTCCAATGAGTTCCCAAAACTTTGATATTTGATAAAAAGATGCAGAGTAGAAGCAGCCAGTCAGCTGTTGAAACAATATGAAAAAAAGAGGTAATAGTTTCTCAAGCAGATTATCACCTTTAGTGAAACATGGGTGGACCATCACACACTTGAGAGCAAACATGCAAGTATGGAATGAAGGAATAAGAATTCATTGTCTACGAAGAAAGTGAAACTGGAAAATGCTGGGAGTCCTTGTAACAATTTTCTGAAACTGATATCATGTCATTTAAATCAATTTTCTGGAAAATACAGTTACAACCATTTCCCAATATAACTTCAGTTTGCTGGAAACCAAAGTTAAATCTGCCCTCAGGAATACACAGTGTGAGATCTGGAATGGAATCATCCTGCTTCATGACAATGAAAAACACACACTAATGAAAGATGTCAGTGTTTAAACAGTATAAATGGTAGTCCATTTATACTGTTTAAACACTGACATCTTTCAGTTAGAAATTCTGGGTCACCTACCACACAGTCCCAATCTTTCACCATATGATTATCAATTGTTTGGATCCATGAAAAAGCATTTCAGTGCAGAATTTCTGGCAAGCCCTATTAATTCACCCAAAAAGCATTAAAGAAAGTCAAAAAGGTAACCAACAAAATTGAAGCAGCTGTGTGACAGTGGCTATGGCAATGTCTCCAAAAGTAGTTTCTGATTAGCAATTAAATAATGTAAAAACATTCATTTATCTTTTGACTAAGACTTCCTCTCTTTGCTAATCAGAAACTATACCAGTATAACAAATCCTATTAATAAACAAGATCCAAGGAGACAATATAAAAACAAAAAAGTAAACAATTTTTTAATTGATATTTTAATCTAATATTATTGTGATGTGAACTATGTTAAAAGAATATGATTTTACCATAAACAGATTGCATACCATATAAGTTAGTTAAGGCACTAAATATATATATATATATATATATATATATATCTGCCACTTTAAAGAACCAGAGTTTGAAGTCACGTAAAAATTTTAAACATTTTTAATAAGCAGTCTGATCCAGATACAACAACCCTTCAGTACTAGGGACAGAAGCCACTTCCTCTAAAAATGCTCCACTCCATTCCAAAACATCAAAAAATGCACAAGTCCGCATTCGGCAAGTATGGACATCGTCCGTCATAACAATATTCCTAGCATCGACGCAAACACACACTTTTCCTTTCCACTTTTACTTCTGACTTACCAGTTTTATTACTACGAAAACGCATTGCGATTCAGAGCTCGGCTCAGGCCAGAAAAAGGCAACCCAACCAAACAGCATCAAACTAAGCAGTGGTCTGCTTGGGTGCTGTTACATTAAAAAAAATGTTTTATAGTATGTACGTGGCTTTAAATTAAACAAACATATTGATTAAGATGCATTTTATTAAAAATAATACATATTGTATTTTTATACTTACGCCACATGCTACTGATGGTACAACTGGATTAATTACTAATTTATTCGCTGCTTGAGTCTTGTTTGACTTCTTATTTGTACTAGTTTTCTTGCTAACTTTCTGTAATTTATCTACACCAATGCCAGTAACCGTAATCAATTCGGAGAGTGTCTTAAAAACTCCGTATCTTTCTCTATGTTGAATCAATCGAGAAATATATTTCTCTCCTATATTGTGTTGCTCTAATTCATTTTTTTCAGCCTTGTTAAAGAAATGCAAAATCTTCGAACCTTTAGATTCTTGTATAGAAGGAAGATTCTATTAAAAATATAAATTTCAATGAAAAACTGAGCACTCGTCTTCGTAACACGTGGTACAAAGTATCTTGTAATTCACGTTAAATCAATTTGCTTAAATTAAATACATGCAATTTTCTAAACTTACTTTAGAAGCAAGCGTGCAGTATCTCGGGATGCAACGGCAGTTGCTTTTTAATGATGAAAATAAATAAAAATTCATACTGAATGCTATAAATGAAAGCAACATTACAACCTCTCCATTTCCCGCATGAACTGAACACAGCGCCCTCTAACTTTTACGATTCTCTAAGTTGAATTAAAACCTAAATGATCGAACCGGCAAAACAACAACAATAATAATAGATCAGCAAAACTTTCTTTCATATTATTAGATTGACACATTTTTCCAAATGTTCGATAGACTTTTGCTTTATTATAATGCAAAACTGAAGACGGCTTTTTCTGTCTTGTTCTATGAATATTTTCTTGAGTGCTCGTGAGATTAGCGCGTTTCTTTATGCAGAGCTGCTCGATCTCTACACAGCAAAGCGTTTCTAAATAAAGCGCTGACATGTAGCGAACCGTTTTTAAACTTTTGCTGCAAGGGGTCGCAGCAGCAACGATAAAGCAGCTTTTATGTCGGTAGGAAAAGAGAGCGCGAACGACGCCATATTGGGAAAACTAAAACTGAAAATTTAGACGGCTCCTATTAGTGCACATTGTTCACTCCGAAGATTGTTACCTATGGATTTCTCATGTAGAGTAAAACATTGTTCCTTTTTCGTTCTTTACCTCTAATTGCGCTCTGAGAGGTCTCCATCAGGGCGATAGGTATTTTCGAGTACTAATCCAGCCAACAACACGGAAGGAATCCCCCGCGGTTCGGGGGGCGATTACGACCCTCCCTACCTAGGAGACACTCGTAGACCAAAAAATACTACTAACCCAAATCTCATCAATCAACACAATGACGAAACCACCCCCATTCTCCCATGGACGACGCAGCGTCCGTTAATCACCAACTTCCTTTGACACCACAACAACACTCGACCTACTGGGTCTACCATATCCGCAACACTCCTGACAACATTGCGCATTGGCTTACCGCTGGGAACATCAATTTAAATAATCCTACTTGCATCATACAATCAGCCTCGGCGGACCTAACACTCGACGGAAAAAGGTTATACAAACACTTAAAACGCCACCACTCCGATCTCAACGCCAAAATCACTAACATATCAACTACTGAAACCGGGAAATTTTATGTTTCCACAATACAGTTCTTTGTCGCTACGTTACTATCTCACTCACAGATAGGTGACATCCCGGTTCACACTACTGTACTTTGAATCGCAACTCCTACACTAAAACTCTCATAATCAAAGGCGGATCTGGATGCACAAGAAATTTACGGAATTTCATCAGATCGACACATCCTCCCATCGCCTCGAGTACTATGCCAAATTCAACGCTGTTCGGCATAGAATTATATGCGATTACCCACTTAACACACAAAACAATACTAAGATTTCCGATTACCTGAATCTCTACCTGCCGGGAAGCCTTGACCACTTACTTCAAGGAGTACACTAAAGGTCGCCTCTACTGCTCCCACCTACGAACATCTACCAAATGCAAAAGCCTCGTAGCCAGCCTCCAACTCCCCCGAAGAAGAAGAAAAGCTTTTATGTCCGCTACACGCTTAAAACAAAATGGACACTTGTGTGTATAATACGATATTATGCTGTAAAAATAGAAAAAGTCGAAGTGACTGTCGACAAAAACATTATGGGAAGATTAAATTTTTAAAATGATTATGAAAGTCATCTAAGAATAAGAAAATACTATATTTTAAATATAATTATCTATATTCTACCTCTTTGTTCACATTTTCGAAAAGAGAAATGCTCATGTTTTATAACTTCTTTTAAAATATTGCTCTTTAACAAAATGTTAACTAAAGCACTACTTTCAGCTGTTACTGGATTTAAAGAATAGATTACGGCATCCATGTTTAGCTCGAGCGGAAATCGTTTCTAAACTATAATGCAGCGACGCGTAGCGATAGATGCTCGTGACGTTATTTTCGCTACACTCTCACTTCATAAAGAAACGCGGCCATTTTACAATCCGTCAGCAAATTGGTTATTTCTTCCTTTAAACGCAATCTTCCGAGTTTTGAGTCGGAAGATTGCGACTAAAAATACAATTACTGATCGTTGCTTTGTATGCTTTGAATGAGAAAGAGAAATCCGTATTCAAATTTGTCTGTTACGCAACGATATAAGCTAACACAAGTAACTGAGACCGCGCGTGTATGGACTAGATTAGTGGTGCTCATGACCTCCGACCAAATAGGGTCCGTGGACATATTTGACACATCACTTATAAATGATAGAAATTGGTCTACATTTTGTATATATGGAATATACAAAATATTTATGGCCAGGTGGTGAGACGGGACATATCCAGAAGAGCTATCCCCGAAAAATGTCTTAATTTTGAGAATCTGTATAGAATTTTGATAAAGCAAGTTTATGAAAGATTATACGCACCAGATTTATAATACATAATTAATAAATTAAAATTTTGGTTTTTGAAATTATGGATATAAACTCCAAAAAGATCTATTTTTCATTTTAGGCTCTTCATCCTGTGGACTCTACAAGGGCCTTTATCATGCCTATCATGAGTTCGATCAGGATTATAATGCGAACGGTCGGGGACGGTAAGGTACGGAGCTCAACATATCCGGGATAGATTAGATCACTCTTCGAAAAATCCTTGGAGTTGTTTGCCCGGATTTCTTTCCGGGTTCCCAGAGCGGTAGTCTGACGCCTATCTCGTCAATCTAGCAACAGGCCACTGGTGAACTTCATTACATAGATATTACGTAAAAACAAAAATTAACTAAAGTAAAAACTTACAAATTCAATTTTCTGTTTGACTATCAATAGCCAGAGCTGCAGACAGCAGGATAGCCAAGCGGTTAAGATGCTCTGAAAGACCGGAATCTGATCCAGACGAGTGAAAATTCTAGGCATTTTACGGGGTATTTCGCCAGGATATGTCGGATTCCGTTCCTTACTACTCGGCTTGTCCATTACTAAAATGGTCGTCTTAGTACCCACAGGTCAGAGAGTTAAAAAAAGCCATAGCTGCTGAAAATCCTAGCTTCAATTTAATATTAATATTACACTTTAGCATATACTCAGACTCATCATTGTAAACGTTCTAGAGAATTGATAACCTGACGATGGCCTGTTGATCAGGTTGAAAGAGTTCGTTTAAAGCAGTAAAGTAGTTTCTCAGCAATATAAGGTGTTTGTATTATAATATCTATAATATAATATTACTTAATATTTTATGTTTTATATTCAAAATAATTGCAGAAATGATTGTAGTTTTATAAAAGTTTTTCCGATTTTATTAAAATTTCAAACCTATAATATTTTAGGTGCTTTAAAAATCTAGTTAACATTTCCAATGTATCTCCAATTGTTCACCATTGCCAAGATACGTTTAGAATCTTCTCGATATCCCGGAGTCAAGAACATTTTCATATCGTTGCAATCACATTTTCAGTTTCCAGTGGAATGTTTTGCACATCACATTATTTAACAACATACAAATAGACACAGTTTTGCTATACATCGTAGCTAGAAATTACGAGACGTAAATTCTAGTGAACATTATTCAGATGACCGGATGGCCAAGGTCAGCCAGGAAGGATCCTGGATCGAATCCGAAGAATTTTTGGCCTCTCTTGGATATCTCGATCATGCCATCAGACCAAACAATTATCATTTAATTTTTTTACGATGATTTTTTATATATAAGTCGGTTAACAGAGATATAAAAATGCTAGTTAATTCGGTGAAACAAACTTTTGGGCCACAAAAAAGTTTAATGTCGTAAATAAAAGAACAAAGGGTGAAGTCAATATCGAAACAAATAATTGATTTTAAATTTTACGGTGTAAAGAATAATGGTGAATCTTTATTAAATACAGTGGCATGGGATGTGATTGATAACATGAAATTTAAATATAGAAAACTCCTATGGTCGGTTCTCTATTAACTACGTAAAGTATTAAGAATTTAAAAAGTTTTAATGATTTTAATGATAATCAATGAAAATAAAAATAATCGAAGATACTTCTGCTTATTTTAAATATTCTGCAGCTAATTTTTACATCAGCCATATATTTACGATATATTAATCTTCCATGAAATCCTTTACATGTGATATCTTAATTATACAGCTTAAAAGATTTATGTTGATGTGAATTCTTTTTTAAATTTTCGTTTTATTTCCTTTATTCTCTTCACGATAAATAAATTTCCTACCATTTTGCCTGTAAGCTAAATCAATATTAATTGGAATTCTTCCACATTTAGCAGTTCTTTGCAGCTTATAAACGAATGTAAACAAAACTTCATCTTGAAAATCATAAATATTAATTAATCTTGGTTCAAACAAAATGTCATTTCCCGAATTTTTTTTAATGTTTAATACTAAAAAAAAATCTAAAACAGTCTGCCCTTGTTTTATATTAATTTTTACGATTTAAAAATCTTTTAAATTCATTCTGAAAGAAATAAATTGAATCCATTTTAAAGTATTTCTATAAATCGCTCTTATATTACTGTGTAAACAGAATATTGTTCTGATACAGAATGAAATATGGCCTTAGTTGCCTTCAACAGTAGTTCTCGATCGGTGGCACGCTAGTGTGCCATAAAATTTCAAAAAATATGTGTAGAAATGTTAATTTTTGTCTACATTTTAATAATATCTATATATTTTAATAAACAAATATTATTAAATCTCGGTTACCTGCTTAGTTTCGATGTATGAGAACCAATAATTGAATAATCTAGCGTTATAATCTTCGCTTTTTCACTGCAAAACGAAACTTTTTGCATCTTCTTCGACCGTGTTTGGTGCATTAAACGTTGACATCTTAAATTACGGATCGGCATGGATCGTGGTAAATTATATAAATAATACACAGCTACAATATCGTAGGACAATCGTCGCCACACCGTAGAACAAAATGGCGGATGCACATAATTGTATAGATAGAGATGCTCCAGTGTATACTATTGCATCTGTTTGACGTCGTTCTTAATTAAAGTTTTTATATAAAATAGTGTCATAAAAGCGTAAATTATTTAAGCAAAACGAATTTACCTTAAATAAGAACATAAGTAAATTGTCGTAGTCCAAGATAAAATTATATTTTCGTTTTAAAAAATTAATTAAACATTTAAATAAATATTAAATTTAAATTTAAATGACAATACATTTATTTTCCTCCCTAAATAATAAGAATTATTCATTCCATAAACCTGAGGAGCGTATGTTTTCTCGGAATAGAGCGCACTTTTCCATCGATTTGGCGTCATATTTACTTTTCAGTAATGATGACGTGTCAAAATGACAGGATGACGTAAAACTTTACATTATTTTGACAAGTCGAATGCATCGTTAGCGTGTGACAAACGAACGTACCTTTTTATCTCGTATTAAACCTATCAAAAACTACTTTCTTTTATTTAATTTAAACAAAGATAATTTAGATATATTCTACACTCTCGAATTTATACATAAATCTACATTTAATACGTTCGATACCACTTTATGGAAACTAATGATAAGTGTTGGAGAAGACCCATATATGGAACTGTAAATTGATTTTTTAAATTATTATTTCGCCATATTTATGTAACTAAAGATTTTTTTCTAGTGAATGAGAAACGTTTCGATTCTATCAATAGCTTCCAGACACACAGACCGACCTTCTACATCATTTTCTACACTTTCATTTGAAGTGTGATCACGCATTTCACGCGTTTATCTTCCCTTTTTCCTCCAACTTCTCATCAGATATTTATTACGGACTTACAAAATTTTTCTGCTGAATACTTTTTTTTTTATCATTCATCTAAATATACTTTAGGACCAATAGTTTACTTATACTTTATGATAGTCGTTATTCAAATCTTTATACATTTTTTATACACTTTTTGATATACCTTCTAAAGTTATGACTATAAATTCGATAAAAATAAATATTTAATTTTAATATTATTCTGATTTTTTCTGTTTTAACGTGTTTCTAAGATTGGAAACGTTGTAAATATGATGTAAACTTTTAAAAATATGGAAACCTTACGAGAAGCTGAAGAAAAGGTTTTTTTTTTTTAAATTATTAATTGAATGATTGATGAATATTTTTTTAGCGTAAATTCTACATTTTTTAATAACGAACTGACTGGATTTAATTTTAAGAAAGCCGCTTACCAATGGCCCAATGGATAGCACCATAATTGGTCGCGGGTTCGCGCCTGGCCAATGGACTGGCCACGTGAGTTTTCGGGTTTTCTTCCGGTCCCTATTTAGGTATTACTAAGAGAAGAAAATGACGTGCCAATGTGGGTCACCTTCAGTGGCCTACATTGACACGTCATCATCCATACTACTCGTGGTAATACATGGATCTATATAGGGGGCTTTTTAATTTGTAATTAAGTATTATAAATAAATGAAAAATAACGAGATGCGAATTTGTACTGAATAAAACCTGCTCGAAGACAAATATATTTCGAAAAGTATGAGCTTAACAAACGTAAAAAATTGCAAAAATCAATTCCTATTTAAAATTATGATTGTAAGAAATGGGGAAACGTGAATCTTAATATCGAATATCTCATAATTTTTTATATAAGTCGAGTGGAAATAATTTATTACTGTACTGAGCTTTTTTTGTGAGAAAGTTCATGAGAAATTTCTAAGGCATTAAATCTTGTTAGAAATATTTTGTTTCTCCTTACAATTTTGGATATATAATTCAATTTATTAAATTTTTAAATCTCAATAAACTTATTAAAATTTCTAAACAAATGAATTTGATTAATAAGAAATATTAAATTCCGAGAAAACTTTATAACTTTGGTCAGTTGGTTGTTAATGGAATAAGGCAGCTCGAGTCTTGGGCGATCTGTTCAGAGAGGTGTGACTCACGTGGGAAACTGACCCCTATATAAGTGTTATTGTCGACAAGCGAAGAAATCCAGAAAATTCAATGTTGATGGTTTGCAAATACACGACCAGGGTTTAGGGATTTTATGAACTAGTGGATCCCATAATAAAAGCTGCTAAATTGTATACAATGGGGCGTAACATATCTGAATCAACACATCCGTGAAAATTTTCGAGTTAATTGAAACTCGAACCCGAATCCTCAAAATACTAGGATGACTTTACGATCCAATCATTCGGCTCTGTAAAATTTTTGAGATTGTTTTCGAAAAACAATGGAGTGGATTGTCAAAATCATCATTGTTACAAATGTTTTGTTGTTTTTAGAAAAAACTCTAATCTCGTTTTATCGCTGTTTTCTTTAGGAAAATACTGAAAATTTAATTTTTCTCTGAAACAATTTTAATTCAGTTAACTAACTGTTTATGCAGCCATGTATCTTCGAGGCATATCTTTGTTTCTTATCGTTTTTGCAACAATTTCAGAAAATGTTTGTTTTAAATTTGTTAAGGAAGGTAAGAACAATAATAATAAAATTCATAAATGAAATTTTTATTTTATATTTATTCATTTGTTTGCAGATAATGCACAAGAAGACATTTCATCCGAATCAAAGTCAAAACGTGAATGTAAGCATATCTTATCATTTCATTAGAACTGAATTTAAACAATATACAGCATATATCCTCACGCTGAAAGGATACAATTTAAGGCCTTGTATCTTTAAATTTATTATTATTTAATGGAGGACGAAGGGCTTCTTATGTGTTATAGCTTAGGATTACAACGCGTCTAAATCTGATTCTTTATCAATTACTTTTATATCATTCGTACAATTTATTTACAGATTTCACTGAAATTTTAAAGAAATTTCAACAAAAAACTAAAAATTTAACCGAGAAACATTTACAAAATCTAAAAATTATGCCTCTATTAATTGAAATTCGATCGAGAATGAAGTTATACACCGATACATTTTGGCAATATTTTCAATGCATACCTCCATTAAACGAAATTTGTTCAGGGATGCAGATATACCTGAACACATTTTGTACACGTTTCTGGACACATATTAAGCCTCTAACGATCGAAACCCTGCATGGCATGAAGATAACAACTTACAGATTCTTCTGCATAATGGAGAAATTTAGCAAAATGGGAAAGAATCTATTCTATCCTTACGAGCACGAAGCAGAGGAAACGATTTTTGAAAAATTGTGTAATTTTTGGATCATTTCTATAATTTTTCATGTTATTCTTATCATTCTGGTAAGCTTATTTTAAAAATTTGTCCATTCTTCTATGTTGTAAATCATTTTGGTATTCTTGCAGCTTGTAAGAAATTATTTTAAGAGGGATTCTTCATTAGTTGATACGCTAAGAGAAGGTTAGTCTTGACTTTCATTTGAATTTTTTATTTCTTTTTCTTTTGTAAATTATATTTTTTAACAGGTTATACTGAAGAAATTAGTTATGGTCAACGAGAATCCATGGATAAGAACGAACAGAAGGATGAGCCAGAAGTAGGAGAATTAACAGTAGACATAGATGATCCAGAAGCAATATCAGTGATTACAGATGATGAATCGAATGCAGAAGATTTACAGGAAAACGACAAAATTGTACATGACGATTCGAAACGCGAAGAAAATGAAATCAAGTTTAATCTTTCTTCAAACCTATCTAATTTGGACGACTCATTTATATTACTAAAACTTTCTGTTTCAGAAAATCTAGAAGTACAATAGTACCTTAAATTACTAAAATATAATAAAATTAAACAAATTATTTCTTGTCATTTCTTGTATTCTTCATTTTAAAATTATAATTATAATAAATGCATTTGGATTGGATNCTACGCTTGTTGGAGAACAATAAAAACACTACACTCAACAAGCCACCAATAAAACTCAACTGCCTAACCTATAACCAAAGTCTCCTTTTAATTTGTTTTTTAAAAAAAGCGCTTGACAAACTTGCCCCGCATGCCGAAGTTGCCCCGATCTCCCCTATAGCCGAAGTAATTTTTTACTCGGATAGATCGATCCGAATGAAAAAGTACGACATCGAGGGCACTTACCGAGGCGAAGGGTAGAAATTCTTTTGACGGAATTGTTCTTTTTCGTGTCTGTTTCAGGACGTTTGTGTATCGGCCCAGAAGGAGAGAGACGTTGAAAGCAAACTGAGAAGCGTAGTGGACGAATGGCAGAATCGAAGACTGGAGTTTTCATCCTTCAAAAACAGAGGAGAACTGGTGCTGCGCGGAGACGCGGCTGCCGAAATTGTTTCGCTTCTGGAAGATAGTCTCACTGCCATCAACTCTCTCTTCACCAACAGGTGAGTACTCGATACTGCAGTACTTTATTTTACACTTTTAACAGAAATATCAGACTCTTCGCCGTCAGACCCTTCACATCTGGTCTCCACCACGAGTCCAGACAATGGTGGAAAGGTCTTCACCATTGACCAAATTATTTCGTTTTCATTCATTTTATAAACTGTGAATAAATTGTAAAATTATTCCGTCTTTTACACGCCCGAACGATTTTATTCGGTAATTAATACAAAACAAAGTATCAATAGAATCGGCCTTTACTCGGTCGATCCTATTGAAAGTGTAGACGGGATGAATATAAGCTTATATAACGATTCGTGACGTGAATATTCACGGCGTTCTTCTTGTCAGTTCGGAAACAAAAGAGAAATAACAATGGATAATCTGTTCGCAGGTATAATGCTCCTTTCCGTTCGGACATCCGGCGATGGATGACACTTTTGTCGACGGCTAACGAGGTGATGGAGAGGTGGTTGTTAGTTCAGAATCTCTGGATCTATTTGGAAGCGGTGTTCGTAGGAGGAGATATCGCTCAACAGCTACCAAAGGTTTCTTTCCTCTTTTTCGAGTTTTCTGTAGAGAATCGGCGGCTTAATGGTTCCGTTGTCAACAGGAAGCCGAAAGGTTTTCCGCGGCCGACCGATCCTGGGTCAAGATGATGGATCGCGCTCGCTTGTGTCCGGACGTCATCAACTGTTGCTCCGGCGACGATATGCCCAAGAGACTTCTGCCTCACCTGCAAGAGCAACTGGAGCTGTGTCAGAAATCCCTGACGGGGTAAGTCTTTCGCGTCACTGTTTTCACCTTCGAAACCACTTTCCGTCCTTTTCTTATACGCAGATACTTGGAAAAGAAGAGGCTGAGGTTTCCCAGGTTCTTTTTCGTGTCGGATCCCGTTCTTTTGGAGATTCTTGGTCGAGCCGGTGATTCTCATTCCGTCGAACCACACTTGCTTTCTCTCTTCGATAACACCCGGCGCCTGATCTTCGACCAGGCTTGCTACGATCTGGTGACTTACGTCGTCTCTTCCGAGGGAGAAAGCTTCCGGGTGAGTATCGATTCGACCTGTTATTCTCGAAAATTTGGTTGATGACGGAACGACTTTTCGGCAGTTAGACCAACCCGTCTTGGCGGCAGGAAACGTGGAAGAATGGTTGACCAAGTTGTTGCTGACTTCGCGCAGATCCTTACACGGAATTATTAAGAGGGCGGCTGATTCCGTCTTTGGCGGAGGCGTCAAAATTATGGACTTCTTGCGGATGAATTTGGCTCAGGTAACGTTTATTCTTTCTAGCACCCGAAATAACTCGTTTGCACCACTTTTATTTATGGCCTTTTCTGTTCACGGGAAGCCCTTTTATCAATCGTTGGATCGATCGAATCCACAATAAAGATGGCCGATTGCTGTGGTATATCTGGTAACATAATACACGTCCAATAAATATTGAACTAAGCTTAAATCGCTAATCAAAGGCACGCCAATTTCAATTCGCAGATTTTGTGAAGTCTCCGAATATTGTAATGCATCTTCATCACGGTTTCGAGTAGATGTATGGCAGAAATTTAATTCTTCGACAGTATTAACGATAGTTTCTAATAATTATGAAAATGCTTGTGATTATCCTTATAACGGCAAAAGTTTTCCCGAACAGATATTCTATATTCCTCCTTTTCAGGTTGCGCTATTGGGTTTACAATTAGTATGGACGAGAGAAGCTGAAATTTCTTTAAGTAACGCCGGAAAGAATCGGAAGATAATGAAAGATACTAACCAACTATTCCTGAAATTATTGAATGCTCTGATTGGACACACCACGAAAAACTTATCTGGAGTAGAGAGAACGAAATACGAGAATTTAATTGTTATTCACGTTCACCAGAGGGATATCTTCGACAGATTGGTAAGTACGATAAATTACCTTATCTATTATATTATTGCAATTCTGTGCCACCTTTCGACAGTGCGTTTTGAAGATAGATTCGCCTTACGACTTCGAGTGGCAGCGTCAGTGTCGATTTTACTTCAGAGCTCACGTGGATAAAACTGTCATCTCCGTCACCGATGTCGATTTCGTTTATCAGAACGAGTTTTTGGGTTGCACGGAACGTCTGGTGGTCACTCCTTTGACCGACAGGTGATCATTAATTTTTTTTCACTTTTTTCTTGTTTTTTACGCTTCGGAATCTTATTTCGATCGTCTCTTATTTTTTTAGGTGTTACATTACCTTAGCTCAAGCCCTGAATTTGAATATGGGAGGGTGTCCTACCGGCCCGGCCGGAACGGGAAAAACTGAAACTACCAAAGACATGGGAAAAACGTTGGGCAAATATGTTGTAGTGTTTAATTGTTCGGATCAAATGGATTACAGAGGTTTGGGAAGAATTTTTAAAGGTTAGTGATAAGTCAGGTGAAAAAGCAAAATGTCTGAAAATTTCTTTTTCTTTTATAATGTTTAGGTTTTAAGAAATTTCCAAAAAAATATTAAATTTAATTAATAAGTAGCGATAGACGTGTCAATTTACGCCAATTATCTGTATTTTTAAAGCAATTAATTTTATTGAATCTTTAAATAGAAGATAACTCTGTAGATTAACGATTTTTATATATAGTAAATAAAGAATAAATTTGCTGTATATTTAAAATTTACATTAGTAGTGTCTGTTAAAGACAGGTAATTAGGCATATAAAGAATGCTGTTTAAATCTAAATATACCACCTCAAAAGACGTTAACCTTGTACTGTACTGTACCTGCCAGCACGGGAGAGACGATCCTTGCATTTACGACACGGAAATGCGATCCAAGAACAAAGCCACCGATTGTTTTGTTCGTTTTTTGAACCTATTTTTCGTTAAGCGCAGGCAATGCTGTTTTTATTTTTGATCCTTAGACCTAAATTCTGTTAGACGAGCTCAGTCGCATCGGAGAGCAAGGATATTGTCACTTCGATACTTTGTATATCGAAAAAGAAGTCGTGGACTTCTACTTTTACTTTCTTGGCTCTGTTAAATATAACAGAGGAAAGTATAGCATCAATCAAAAAATGATCCCTCCTAAAATTTTATATATTTTTGGACTCACGGTACCTTGAAAAGTCGAGAAATGCAAAAGATCTATTTTTTTTTCCTGTATGTATTGATGTTAGTGTGTGTGGAGGGCACAATTTTGATCACTCTCGTTAAAGCTTAATAATTGCTGCGCTTTATGTCGAAAATTTCTGAAATTTGTAGGATGGTTTGTGTATTATGGAGATTGATGCTATTAAATTTTAATGGATAAATATCGACTCGGTGGGAAGGTAAATGGGGTCATGTGTCGTATTTATAATAGGGTTTAGGGATTAAATCATGATTTTACTCGTTATAACATTTACAATTTTTTATAAAACACTCAAACGTTTAAAAAAAAGTACTAAGTTAAAAAATTCCGAGCGATTTATGAATATTTTTTGTAAAATTTTCAATAAAGAGTCGGTGATTCGACTGTGCAAACTTCTCCAAAATCCCAACTCTCAAAATTAAGCTTTCTGCCATTTTATAATAATTAAAAATATAAAATGATTTTTAATGAAATATCGTAATAGATGGCTCCATACCCTCAGTTTTTAAATGTTGCCAAGAAAGTTAAACAAGTCGTTGCTGGATTTTCTTCATTAAACATCGCACGATATCGCTTTTAGGTATCGAACACGAAATTGAACAATAAAGGGAGTTTTCTACGAAACTTGAATATTTTCTCTTAATTGTACAGATAAAATTTTTCATTTTTACCCCACCATTTTGTTGTTGATAGGCTTAGCACAATCGGGATCCTGGGGATGTTTCGACGAATTTAACCGAATAGAATTACCGGTGTTATCCGTGGCGGCTCAACAAATCGCTATTATTCTGACTTGCAAGAAAGAAAGAATGTCCGAGTTTATCTTTTCCGATGGAGATGTCGTTTCCATGAATCCAGAATTCGGAATTTTTATTACCATGGTAGGAAATTCAAACGATTCTTAATTTAGTTTTATATTCCTAATTATAAAATAATAAAAATGCGGTTATCTAACGTTTATATAGCTTACAATTAATGCTAATTAAGCAATAAATTTAATTATTATCACTGATTATAGATGAATATTTGCTTATTGTTTCGTATCAAATAGAATCCAGATTACGCCGGTCGACAACAACTTCCCGAAAATCTAAAGATTCAATTTCGATCGGTAGCCATGATGGTCCCAGATAGACAGATCATTATAAGAGTTAAATTGGCCAGCTGCGGATTTTTAGAGAACGTCGCTTTAGCTAGAAAGTTTCATTGTCTCTATAACATATGCGAGGAACAGCTAACTAAACAGGTAACGTGTTCTTTTAACCGTTTTATTCCATCGGAAAAATTTTGTTTTCAACATTTCGTATTTGATAAATGCCGACAGATTCATTACGATTTTGGTCTGCGTAATATTCTATCAGTGTTACGAACGTTGGGTGTCGTTAAAAGACAGAATCCGCAAGATTCCGAAAGCAGCATCGTTATGAGAGTTCTAAAAAACATGAATCTATCGAAATTGGTAAGTGTCTGTTGTGTTATTTATATTTTAACGAAATCGAAATTCTTTTGTTTGTGGTTTCTTGGAAAATCCTGCGAACTATACAGCTAAATTATAATAAACTGTCTGCATTAATTAACTGGACCACTATTTTCTTTGAACCAATCTCATTAATTTCAGCTGTTCCGTTTTACGCTCTTGTTGCGTTAATAGAGGTTGTGTCTAAATTGTCTTTTCAATTTATTAGACCTGTGCTAAATTTGGCGATAAAACGTAATTCATAACGATTTATTTTGCTAACCTCGTTTTGTCGTCATTAAAACCAGATTTTTTCATACCAACGTGAAGTCGTTGTTATTTTAAGGGCGTTTTCCACGAGAAGTATCGCATAAATGCGTATTAAACTGCGTCACTGCTCGTGTTGTTCTCGGCAGTTAACATTGATATTAAAGTTTTCATTGAGAAGGTGAAAAACTATTCCAAAATATAGAATCTCAGAAGAAGAACACCAGGAGGACCAACACAAAAAGGCGTAAGGATGAACCTTGTTTTTTAAGGAAGTTTTTCTTTTCCTCTTGCGCTGACAAATACAATAATAAAACCCGTCTTCCTGACCCGTAGACATCATACTGACTGAAGAAGCTGTCTTAAACCTTCTCTACGTTTTCAGTACGCTCTGTATACATGTATTTAAGCGTACACCAATCTCACTATGAGCGAATCTCGTACGTGCCTATGTCGATACGCCTCGTTGATAGAACTCTTACATCCTCTTTCAGTATTCATTCACACATTAAAATGAGGTATAAATAAGAAGAAAAGCATCTGTAAGTTTTGAAATGATAATTAAAGCCTATTTTAATTCTTAGGTGGATGAAGACGAACCCCTATTTTTGTCTCTGATAGAAGATTTGTTCCCGGCAGTAGACCAAGATAACGAAGGTTATTCCCAATTAGATTCTCGGATTAGAGAAGAAATCGAAGCGGCTGGGCTAACCGATCACACGCCTTGGACTGCCAAAATCATCCAGGTGGGTACGAATTAGCTATAATTTTCGGTTATTTCGATCTTCTAACCGAATGGCGAGCTAAATTTTTATCGTTAAATTAGTTATACGAGACTTCCGAAGTCAGACACGGAATAATGATTTTGGGACCGGCAGGAGCTGGGAAGACCTCGTGCATTAGAATCCTGGCGAAAGCTCTCGGAACGATCGACCGGTCGGTGAAAGAGGTGAGACTCAACCCCAAAGCCATGACTGCTGCTCAGATGTTCGGTCGTCTGGACGTCGCAACCAACGACTGGACCGACGGAATCTTCTCGGCTCTCTGGAGGAAAACCCTGAAGGCTAAGAAAGGCGAGTTGACACTTTCGTTTTCCGTTGCCTCCATATATTTCGTGTGAAGGCGTGGAGTTGTTTCTGGTGAAGTAAATCAAACGATATTCGTGTTTTGAGGTTTAATTAATTGTTAGAATATAAAGAATCTTTGCACTTTCTTCAAAGTTCCAAAGTTTTCCGACATTTATACGTGTTATATTATACTTGTATATAGATATCACTGCATATAGTTGGAATAGAATAGCGAATAATCGCGATAACTCCATTGTTAAACTATTCTTTTAACAAATTGTATCGTTTCTCTATTCTTTTTAACAAGTATTCTAAACGAAGTCATTTAGAGTTATTACCTTGTCTTGACCAAGCCGTGTATTAGCAGTTTGATTTCTCAAGATTATGCGACGAATTAAATTCGGAAAACTAAATTTATGGAAGCCGTCAGAGAAAATAATATTTATATATTCTTTACTTGTATCAAATTTCCATGGAATATTTAAGCAGTGCGTTTATTTGACAGGAGAACGAACCTGGTTGGTGTTAGACGGACCAATAGATCCGGTGTGGATTGAAAATCTCAACTCGGTCCTGGATGATAACAGAACTCTAACTTTGGCTAATGGCGACAGAATACCCATGGTGGAAACCTGTAAAGTCCTGTTCGAAGTGGACCGCGTGGATAACGCTTCTCCCGCCACCGTTTCCAGGAATGGAATGGTCTACGTCAGTTCTTCCGGTTTATCTTGGAAACCGATTCTAACCGTGAGTTCCTTTTCTCCGTTTAATTGTTGATTATCTCGTCTGGTTGTATCAGAAAATTAATTATTCTGAATCGAGGCCTTTTCGCCAAGTAACTTGGCCTTTCACCCCTAGTAGGGGTTCTATATCGTTTAATACATTATGGAATTTGATAAGTGAAACATGTATTTGTATGTCACTTGAGACCCGCATTCAGAAAAGATTTCTCGTCACTGGTTAATATATATTTAGATTAAAATTGAATTAAATATATTTTATATATTTATTAACTCAATTGCCTAATGGATTTAATTTCTTTAATTATTCATAGTGTATACCTTTTCAGTATTTTGTGTTTGAAATTTTATATGTACTGTATTTATAGCTTTTACAATACATTACTTTTTTGTGAGGTGTTTCGTGTTATTTTGGGAATTCATGAAAATAATGTTAAAGCACTATCACTATTCCCTTGTCAAGATGTAATTAAAAATTACAAGAAAAATAAAAATTTATTAACACTGCATATATGGTTGACTGGGAACCACTCCATTTTTACAGACTAAGATTATAATACTACATGGTGATTATACTTAAAAAGTAGGTGTTTAAAGCTTTCTGTAAAAAGAACTATTTGGGTAAATTTCGATCAAATGCGGTTACGGGTTTCAGGAAAAGTTTTTAATTTAAAATTTCGACTATGCGGTTACGGGTTTCAGGAAAAGTTTTTAATTTAAAATTTAGCTGCTAGGGCGAAAGGATCTCACCGAATCCTGATGGATTTTGGCTGAAATTTTAGTGTGTATTAGAGTCCGAGCAGGAATTTGATATCATCTTGATCGAAGATCTGTATTTAGTGCGAACAAAGTTTAGGGGACTCTTAATTTGATGGAGTGTCTTCATTGAAGAAGGTGGTGAATCCATGTTGAATCCATGCGTAGTTATTTATCATAAGAAATGGGCCATCCACATTTCGCAACTCACGGTGACTATGGTCGCTTTAAATGGCTCATAGTTTTCAACTATTATCCTCAGTCATTGAATCTCAGCAGCCTTCACGGAGTACTCGAAAAGCTTGTCTTGCCTCACGATCGAGTGGTTCTGGTAGGCCAAGAAAACCGTTAAAGAAGCGATGGAGAATTCAGGATGCTTGTTCTGAAAAATCCATTAGGAATTTCAACCTTATCTCTGTTAGTCAGAGAAAGTTGGATTGATCTCATCATCGTAAATGAAGTTATGCTAAGCTAAATCTCAGTGAGAAACAATTGATGTGGTAAGCTGTAATGACCATCGTTTCATTGCCTTCCAGAAGGCGAATGATTTATCATTCAGACCATGTGGATACTATCAATACAAGTCGATTGACGACAATCATTCGAAATTTAGCAAATGCCTGAACGACACAATGACCGGAATAGTTTACGACTGTCATTAGGACGAAGAGGAAGACACCCAGCATATCATCTACCACTGCCCACACTACTCCAGCCAGCGTAGACGTCTCATCGATGCTGTGCTCTACTGTGGGTATCACTGGCCCTGCACTTTGGATACCTTCACCAGCAACAGCAAAGTGTTTTTTGCGCTAAAGAACTTTGCCAAGGAAANAAGTAATCAAATTCTAAAAACCTATAGTAAATCTATAATCAGTTAACAAATAATTCAGATAGCAAACAAAGTCTTGGAATGGATTATGTTCGTTAACCAATCACTCACTGTACTCTAATTAAATTACTATATTGAAAATAGGAAATATTTTTAAAATTATAATTATAATAACTGATTTTGGATTGGATTGATGCAACAAAACACACGGGCGATCTGCCAAGGGAGAAGAATATGAAACGCACCTCTTTAGGTTTCGGAATATCCAGGCCTAAATTGACTAAAGTTAAATAAATTATTTCCTGTTGCTTCTTGTATTCTTCATTTTAAAATTATAATTATAATAAATGCATTTGGATTGGATTGATGCAACAAAACACACGGGCGATCTGCCAAGGGAGAAGAATATGAAACGCACCTCTTTAGGTTTTGACACATGAAGAAAACATGGAAAACTGTACGATGCCAACCCATTGGTCAAGTGTAAACAGTTTCTACAATCAACTACCAATGCTAAGTGGTGTTATATACTCGTCATACGTCCAGTTAGGAATAATTTCACAATTCTGCTTCTCAATTCAAAAATTGTAAGAAAGATTATTAATAATAATTGCTTTCTTACAATTATTATTAAAAATCACTTTTAAAATGTGCAACAATTAAACTATTGTCAAATAAAGCGCTATTTCTCACCTTGTGGTGACTTTTAGCATCAATTATTTTTTTACCAGTAAATCAACTCAATAAAAATAATAAATTCTAAGCAATATATGTAGAAAATAATTATTTTTAACGAGCAAAAAACCATAACAGTTTTATTTATAACTGTAATAATTAAAATTAAATCATCATAGTTATTAATCATTAATCACGGAATTAAATACCCAAAAAATATATTTAAAAAATATATATATTTCTTATATAAATTATAAATATTAAAATATAACAAAATTAATAAAATATAAAAATAAAATTGAAAGAAATGCGTTAAGAGTACCCGGGATCAGTAAATAGAATAAAGTAGTTGAATGAAAAGTTGAAAGTTGTATAGTGGATGATACTTTTTTTTATCTTTCATTTTTCTAATGCTCTTTATACAAGTCATATATTATAAAAATGATTAGACCACAAGAAAATAACTTGAGAAGATTCTATCCAAACGTATCTAGTTCGATTCTGTCAAGAGACATTATATGATCTCGTATATCATTTCTTAGCATTTCCAGCATCTTCAGTCTGATCACGCATTTCAGACGTTTGTCTATACTCTTTTTCCCTTCTTCTTCCTCTTCTTCTTCTATTTGCTGTTATATATTTATTGCTGACATATAAAATTCTTCGAAAGAAAATTTCTTAGATGATTATATTTTTATTATCCATCACAAAATGTATAATGAACGAAAGCGTGGCGTTAAAGTATAGCTTAAATTCTACAGAATGAAGTGAATTTGATTATATTCTTATATTATTTAACTGCTTAAAATGTTTTTAATGTCGTAAAGTTTAATTTAATTTTTTTTAAATTTAAACATGACGTCAAACTGACTTAAAAATCTACACTACTCTGACAAAATTATATATATAATTTTTTNTTTCTTATTTTTTATTAACCCTCAATACCGAAATAATCCCGGGATCCCGGGATTGAATAAGTATAATCCCGAAATCCCGGGATTAGAAATAAGGACCGGGATCGAATTCCCTACTAGAGGACCAATGTTGAGTACAGTACATACGCAAGATAAGCAGTACAATAGAAATCTAATGGCTCGAGTTCTGTGAAAAAGTTTGTGACGAGAATGCTTTCTGTTTTCCCTGCAAATTAGTCATGAGGAAATTTAAAAAGACAAGTCTCGGTGACTGTCAAAAGACCTGATGGCAAATTAACTTCCAGTCAGGTGAAAACTTATAGGTATTCAGTTTCAGGTCTGTGCAGATCATTTGCTAGTGTTAAATAGAGAGAGAATTGTAGGAAACAGACATGAAATGGGAATTTTCGACAATAAAACAATAGTGTAGTTCATTCGCTGGGATAACTATATAAGTTTTTCTTGCTGGAAACACCTACTATTTAATTTTGATCACTCGTAGTCCTATATTGTTCCATTTTGCTATCTCCGTTGAGTGAAAACTCAAGTGTATTTTGACTCATTTGAACTATTCACGCTGTTGAGAAATTTGTTCTGATAGTTGTCTTTTACTATCAAACTTAATTTTTTAAATATTACGAAAGTGAAGATAGAATAAAGTGATTCTCGGCCAGCGATATGAATGTTGAATATTAACGTGTTCATTGATGTTACAGGCGTGGCTAAACAAGCGATCGAAAACGGAAAGTGACGTCATTGGAAAATACTTCTACGACACTTTCGAACATATTTATATTTGGACCAGTCGCAATTTGTCTTTTAAAACCATAATTACCGAATACAACGTCATAACTCAGGTATGAAATAACAATAATAATATTTATGATAGCGTGACGATATATTGTATCTTAGAAATATAGATACAGGATGTAGTGTGTATATAAGTTTATATTTTTTATATGTAGCCTATATATTATGTATATATAACAAAAATTGCTTCAAAATTCCAAAATTATCTTCAAAATTGTTATATATATAACAAAAAGAAAGCCTCATCTCGTGACCCCCTCCAAGTCTAACATTTCTAGCTCAATAATGTTTTTGGAGATATTTCAGAGGATTGATTAAAACGGCCCATCCTGTATATATATAGTATACATATTGTATTGTACAGATATTTATATACTACATTCTGTATCTTGTATCTATATAAATAAATATTTATTTATCTGATATAAAGTTATAATGTGATAATACTTTAGGCAATAACATTACTAGAAGGAATGCTGATGCAAGAATACAAAAGCGAACGGATAGAAACTACGTGGAATAAATTATATATTTTTTCTTTAATGTGGAGTGTGGGTGCCGTAATGGAAGCCGATTATCGTCGACAATTGGAATTGTACATTCGATCCAATTTCTCGTCCTTTCTTCATCTTCCTCCCGAAGATGGTTCGTCCATGTTCGATTATTGGATAGACGAATCAGGTAGCACAATTCTTAAAGTACGTGGCTGTTAAAGTCCAATCGAAATTTTAACGAATCGTTCTCTAGGAACGTGGCAACTCTGGGAAAGCCGAATGAACGGCGTTACCGACGAACTACATTGGCTGGATTACGACACTTTTCTCGTTCCCTGCGTGGACAGCGTCAGAAAGGACTACCTGACGGACGTGGCTATAGAAGGAGGTCGGGTAAGAGAAATCGTCCGATTTTAATTCGATTGGTTCCTCTTCGTTTATTTTGAAAACTGACAGAGGGCGATGCTGGTGGGCGAGGCGGGAACTGCCAAAACCACCGCCGTTCGAGCGTATCTGCAGAAACGACGGACCGAAAGACGACGCGAAGAAATCTTCGCTTTCTCCTTCGCCACCACACCCGATAAGTTTCAGGTAAGAACGACTCCGAGTCGAAGAAATGGCGGTGGAAACCGTGTCCGAACGCGATTCGGTCTTTCTCTTTATTCTCGTTACTAATTAATTTCGATTAAAAAGATCGCCTGTATAATATTATCCGGATCGTGTGAACACATAGTGTGCTTCGCTAGGTTTCGATAAGGGCAACGGTCTGTGCAAGACACGCGAATCGGTAGCAGAGGGATCGAGGCGATTTGTCGTCCGGACGGAAATCTCAGCGTGTATGTGTGGTGTGAAAAATCTGACCTTGGCAATGCACCGCTACTCATCTTAGCGACGTTCAATTCCTGAATTTTACTCGATGGTGCGAAAGCGGTCTTAATAGTCTACGATACGATACTTTTCATACTCTACAATATAGGCTAATGCCGTAAAGTTGGGAACTGGCGATAGTAATCGAGTCTAGTCGGAGTCTATACTACAAAAATAGTGCGTCAGTTCGACGTCCTCTCGCCCACGAGATACGTAACTTAGCCAGCGGCGAAAAGTCACTTTTTATTAACCGGAATTCCGATTTTTTGGATAGAAGAGAGTGGAGAGTCTGCTGGAGAAGAGGACTGGAAATACTTTGGGACCAGGAGGAGGAAAGACGTTGACCATCTTTGTCGACGACATCCATGCGCCCGGTCAGGACAACTGGGGCCACCAGGTAGGTCTTCGGTTTCTGCGCGGGAGGAATCCCAGACGTTTTCAAATATATTTTGTCAAGATTCGTAAGCACATAATGTATTGAATTAAATATCGTAGTCTCTATTCTAATCTTGCAATTCAATTAAGCGCCGCACTAACATCTGAATATAATGGAGACGTCATATATCAGGTTGTAAACGTGAAATTTAGACATTTCCAATTGTTTTCTAGAAACGACTGGAGAAAAGTTCTAGCACAACCGATGTCGATATATAAACAGCGTAACCATTGATTATTTCATCACATATTTCATTGGAAATAGACTCATCGGCAATGTCTAACAATAAGAAACTATCGACAGAACACATTCACTCGCTGTTTCTCTGTCAGTTTCAAAAGCAATCACAACACAAACAAATGCTCACGATCTCATCTGAAAGACAATCGGTGGGGACACAGTTAACAATTATATACGCTACAATTTGTCTCAATGAAACTCGAGAAACTCTATGATGGAGTTTCCGCGCTTCAATGTGAACCCCGTCATCTTTGATGATGACGTTCTCCTGCAACTGACAGGTGATAATCCATGGTGACTATCAGAGTTAGCACACACTCCAAAAATTGGCATAGTCCAACGCGATAGTACACAGAGCTAAGATGACCTAGGAAAGTTGGCCAGTCTGGGCTGAGAGGTTCTGGTTCATCCACCTTACCGCCTGGATTTTGCGCCGACTGATTAAGATATATTTTGCACCCTGCAGAATCGTATTGCCAATATACAATTAAATGATTATACCCATGTAAAAACGATGAAATTTTCGTTAAATTAACCAAGTCATTCTACGCTTACGGGATTGAAAGTTTGCAGCAATGGTAGCGAGACGTGCTTGATATTTCAAAATGTCTAAATTTCATCTTTAATGCCTGATATAACTTTACCGTTATATCTTTTGATCGTCAAGTTGAGAAAATTGTACATTTGTCTCCTGTCCGAAAACTTTCGTTAGGGGTTCCGTCCCAAGTTTTCACGAAAGCGCGAAATCTCTCTTATTCGCGAACCTCGCGGTAGCAGAATATTCCGAGTAAAGACAAAAGGACACGTCGACAGGCTGTCAACGAGATTCTTCGACAGACGATCGAATCCGGAGGCTTCTATAGTCTAGATCGTCCGGGAGACTTCCTCCGATTAGTCGACGTGGGATTCTTGGCCGCTTCACGAAGCTGTGGCGTGACGCCTCGACTGCTGAGACACTTCCTCCTCTTCGATTGTGTTCAACCCACCGACGACTGCCTGGATCGCGTTTTCGGTAAGTCTTCGCATTTTCTATTTTTTTTTTACCGACGCCCCGTTTGTCCCTCTAAGAAGAATGAGATTTCCTGGCTGATAACCCGACCGAGCTGTTTCCTCGGGCGAAGAACTCTGCCGTTCCGCTAGAATCTGATGGAAAAGAGTTTATTCCCTTAATTTTTTTTCTAATACCGCAAAAAATCCGTTTTTCGTATTAAAATATTTCCGCAAACGGAAGAAACAGTTTTGAATTTTCGGCCGTTTCGTCCATCTACAGGAAGAGGATGGTTTCGGATCAGGATTTTCATCCAAGACGTCTTTTTCAGACTTGAGGAGGAGCGTCGTTCGTCGACTAACTCTTTGCGACTTTTGGAATTTTTCCGCAGGTGCAGTGGCGCATTCCCACTTCAATTCCGGGAATGGCTTCTCTTCGGAGGTTCGACAGTTGGCGGAACGACTGGTATCCCCAACGCGAGCACTCTGGAGGGAAATGAAGGTGGGTTTCGTTTCGAGAATTCGGGTTCTTTCGAGAGGACGGCGCTTAATCTTTTTCTTCCGCGGCTAACAGGATCGAATCGCTCCAGTTCCCGGCTATTTTTTCCGCTCTTTGGAACCGGGAGACCTTAGTCGAGTGTGGAAGGGAATGGTTGAAGCCCGGTCGCGGGTGGTGACCGACGGCGGAGTTCTACTTCGTCTGTGGACACACGAGTGTCGTCGAGTACTGGTCGACGGGTGAGTGCCTTTTTTCGTTACTCCTTCCGGAATACGTGACGCGTTCCGACCACACGTCCTTCTTTCCGTTTCGATTCTCGCCTCCACCGCGTCACGGTGTCGCGAATTAGGTATACTGAGGTTTCGTGTCCTCGTGTCCACCCTCGCTCGTCGAGTCGTCAAGTTGTCTTCGAGTATTTAAGGTTAAGGTACGCAGACGTATCTTAATCCATACATTCTTAAGTCTTGACGAAGCTAACTCGCGAATATAAATATACCTGCGATGAGCAAATTTTCTTGAAAAATACAAACACGTTATGCGGCAAATTACCATAATCATAATATGATAAAAAATAAAAAGGAATGTTTTAGTATTTTTCTAGTAGTAAAGGCGTAATAAATGGATTAATGTGGAAATAAAACTTCCCCGAAGAATCTCTGTGGTATTATACACGAGGGTCGATTGATAAATAATGATAAATGTGTCTTATACAAAAATCTAGTAACGAGTTGCGTAATTTTCCTGGCTATTGACATTTTATTTTAAAAATAGCATTTATATTATTAATCACAATAAATAAAATTGTTTTTTAAAATTTTGTTTTAAAAAACTTTTTATATTATTAATACATAACTATAGTATGCCAAAAAGTTTAATTTTTAGAGTAGGGTTGAGTTTTATTAAAAGTACAGTCGACCCCCCCTATAACACTGTTGATTATTCCGTTTTATATGAATTCCATGTTGTACGAGTCACTTAGATTTTACAAATACGTGTGCCGGGCTGTAAACGGCTCACGTATTTGTAAAATCTAAGTGACTC